GTGGGACAAAAATACGGGTTAGTCCGTCGTTACTCAAGGCTATGTTACTGCGCTAACATGTTGGCAGAGACTATCGTGAATAACGAAAGCAGCGAAATTATTCGGATATTTTACAGCGCTTTCGATGCGTTGCTACCTCAAGAAAAGAGAGAAACAAGCAAAGGAGAGGCTGGCCTTTTCCCGAGTCACTGAGAACGAGAAATTGAAGACATGAACGACTGGGTTTATAATACCATCAACAACGGTGTCTACAAGTCCGGGTTTGCCGCGACGCAGCAGGCCTACGAGGAGAACGTTTACCATTGTTCAAATCCATGGACCGAGTCGAAGAGCATCTTGCAAATCCAGCACACCAGCCTTATTTATTCGGGGCGAATATCACAGAGGCAGACATTCGATTATTCACGACCATGATTCGCTTTGATGTCGCATATTACAGCATTTTCAAGTGTAATTTGAAGATGATCCGACATGATTATCCAAGAATCCATACCTGGCTTCGCACATTGTACTGGGATGAGAGTGAGAGGACGCATGGGGCGTTCAAAGATACGACTCGATTTGACGCGGTATGTAATGATGAGATCACTTACACGACAATGGCTAATAGTGATAGTACAAATTGGGTTACAGCTTTGCATTAGGAGCAAAAATAGTCCCAGTCGGACCAGTCCCCAACGTGGTTCCTTTGTAACAGGTGGAATCAACTGGCTAGATGGCAGAAGCCTCTCATCATCCAAGACAGCCACTCTATGTCTTCAAGGACATTTCGTGTCAGCGTAAAAATTCAAAAATTTCCCAATCCCTATCGCTTTCGTCTAGAATTCGACTGAGGTGGTGGTTGAATACCCACAACTGTACCAGATCGCTTGATTGCGGCACAAGCTTGTACCAAAAATACACTTCAAAAGATGAAACACCATATCCTTTGCTGCGCACAGCGCCAATTAGAGAAAGAGTGGGTCCAACTGTTGGTTCTGCACTTCATTCTGTCTCATTGGCTAGAATCTCTGCTGCGTGCATAAATCATCCACTCAGCCTCAACTAAAACCCGTACCAACACCATGAGAATCCTTCGTTGCACTACCAACGTGCTAAGGGTGCACTCAATCCGGGTACAGCCGCAAGTCTACTTGCCAATATTGAATTAGTTGGTCCTCACAGGCAGATTCTGCATCTCCAACATGTACCCATGTTCAAAAACATGACAGCTTTCAGTAAACCACATATCAAGGGCCGGGAACCAACACCTTTGCCATGTTGGCTCTCCCTGATAAGGCACAATGTATAAATCTCGAAGATGCCCGGTTGAATCGCCACCACATTCTGTACCTTCCCAACACTACGCATCCAAATCCCACACCGTCTTGCGAGCCACAAGCACTACATCCACTCATACTTGCTCTAGTTCATGCGTTGTATGTACCACTGCCCAACCCAAAGCGCTATACAAATCATGGACTCTCCACATCATGTCCCACTTCCGAAGAGCTTCGAAAGTTCAAGAACAGTCCCACGCCTCGAGATCCCATGTTCAGATCCCACGTATTCAACGGTCACCTTGGTCGAAGAGCAGTCCCGATCTTCCGTTCAAGAATCAGAAAAGCAAGCCCAAGCTATTCCTAATTCCAGACGCTTACTCAGAGTGATCATTATCGAGAGCACGATATTAGTTCTTGCTCTTGCTACCCTCAGCCTGGCTTCTGCTTATGGAACTCAGCTGTATAAAGCTCCCAGGATCACTGATTTGGTCCCGAGTCGTTTTGTTATGCCTGGTCAGGTCTCGCCACCAATCTCTCGAGCGCCATTGTCACGCCGTGCTCCTATTGCATCGTACTATCGGAACACAAGCGAGCGCTTAACAGCCAATGACACGCAATCTTGGGTCATCTTTTACAGTGGAACGATGCCCCTTCTCAGTATTATCATGACAACCGTCGGAATAATTCTTGCCTACCGCAAAAAGGTCACGCCACTGTATTCGACCATTCTGTCAGCGGCTTTCTTAGCAAGTTGGTGTGTCAATGTCGGCTGGTGGTATGTTTCTCACTCGTACATATGTTTATACTCAGGCTAAGTTTTTGCAAAGGATAACTTGCGATTGGGCATCTACCTTGCCAGGAGGTAATACAGCACCCAAGAGTAAGTCCTCCAAACTGATTTTTCTATCTCGTACTAAAGCCAATATGCTGCAGCCTGCCTCCAAACCCGTCTCATCCAAGCCAACGGCGGATTCATCGGCATTGACACTGCATTAATGAATGCAAAGATTTGTTTTGGAATTCTAACCGTTATCGCATATGCTATATATCTGAGTGCGAGCATCTTCTTTCCGGTAATGCTCGCTTCTTTGGCTGTATCAAGACCATTAGACTAACGAAGACTTCTAGATGTCTTTTATAATGCGTTCAAAGGGTACGGGACATGCGTAGACTTAGTATTCTATTGTCATCATAATACCATGAATAGGAAAGAGTGTTATGACAGCTTTGAGGTTAGTGCAATGTTGCTGAAGAAAGAAGACATCGGTTCGGTATCGCTTAGTTACTCCTCCATCGTCGTAGAGCAAGCAAGGTGAGAGCAAGATTGTAAATAATGATATGTTACACCTTAAGTTTTTTGAATCCCGGATAGGCCGTTGCCGGAATCTTGACTTGTAGGCTTCAACATAGCTCAATTGAAACTATTCAACTATACCCACGACTTCTAGCACTCTCCAACTCATTGATGAATTGAAAACATCAGTGTAGTGAACTAGCCTTAGTATGGTAGACACGTTGAAACCTCTCCAGAAGCCTGGATCTTGTCCAGCTTTCAAAAACCCTAAGGTAGCAATATATTTCAAGCAAGCTCAAAAATAAAGCGCAGAATCACAACTGCGTTTGAGAAGATGCACAAGGATACGAATAGGGCGTCATAAAACGTTTTCATTATTTTGATTAGATTAGAGAGACGATAATTCAGTCTCAAGCAGCGCAAGCGTCAAGTATTGTATCAAAAGAACCACCGTTAACTCCCAGATGATGCTGTCTAATAGTCTGAATGCTTTTTTGTTGTGTTGTGATGGTGCTGTTCCATGCTTGCAAATGGCGGCTTTCGTAAAAGTCCAATGACCTTCTCACACCTTTGATACGCCTATGCAATTGTTTTGACAAAGCCACCAGCCTTCTTAGCCTTGAAATGAAGGGTTGGAAGCAGAATTGCTGTTGTGGCGTAGAGGATACTATTGCGAATTAGCTAAATTTCTTCAGGGTTGAAATGGATTGGAACTTACGTGAGAGCAATACAGAAGCCCCAGATAGCCTTCGTCTCAAAGCAGTTGGACTTGTTCATGCCACTCCAATATGCAAGATTGATGGTTGACCCCTTCTTCGCCCAATTGGCTTTGAGGCCATCAAGGACGCTCCCCTCAAGGTTCTCGAAACGATAATAGCAGTTGAGATAGGAAACTGGTCGGCCAATCGAAACGGAGACGACGACAAAAGCGACAAAGATGAGAGCATCGAAGGCGGCCATGACAAAGAGTCCCAACTCTGCTTGTGCCCAATAAAAAGATATGGAGACCAAAGTGTATAGAGTTCCGATGGATGTCTTGATTTATGTTAGTCTGGACCACAACCAGAAAGACGTGCGACTTACAATAGCGAGTGCACCAACGATCTCCCTGGATGGCTCGTGGTTTGCCATTACCATGCTATTGACAAAGTTGGAAGCCATTCCAATTATGATAACCAAGAAGACGAGTTGTAGAACGCGGGCGATGAGGAAGGTAGCGCTGATTGGCGCGGCTCCGTAGCTTGGAATCTGCATATTGAAAAAGGAAGAAGGTTGTTTCGCTTTTGAAGTATTGTAGGAATAAATGCTGCGAGACGGGAGCTGCTTCTGGTGGAGCTGAGAAAGGACTGGTGTAACTTTGGTGCGAGCAAGGAATGATACTGCACAGCAGATATATAAGAAAGACTGAAAGAGTGATGAAAAATCTAAGGAAAGAAAGACCCCAAAAGAAATGACTCTAGGAAAAAAATCGCAAGGGAGATTGAGATGTTGAAAGACTGTGTTGATGGAGATTGTACCAAGGGAGTCAGCGGAACAGTCTTAAGTATGTGAGCCATCACGATTCCAAGATTGGATCATAGCTTTTTTTCTTTTCCATCGCTGCTATAATTGTAACACCAAATAGGAACCTGTTTCATGCACTTGACTTGACGCTCAGAGTTCCAATGAGAGTCACGTTTGTCATTGCTAGAAATTCTTAGTGGAAGCTGAGGCTGGACGTTCTGTGAGTTGTGGGACCCATCTCAGCGGCTACAGAGATTCGCCCTGGCAATGCGCATTGACCCATAGAATGTATTGGCCATTCAGATGAAAGAACAGCATCAAAAGTCAAGCGCGACGGATGAGGCTCAAAGCAATGTGTCCTGAGAGCCTGTGAAGCTTCGTTGTACAAGAGTTCTTGATGGTTGACCGTCGGTTTCAAGAATGGATCCCGAAAGCCTCCCGCTGCCGCTGTCGTGGGGTCGCTGAATGTCTATCCTTAGGTCATCATTTATGGAACTACCAGACAAAGATCAATGCGGAAGTGAGGTTGAACCACTGGTCCGGAACACTCCCATGGTCGCGAAGCTGGTAACGAGAATTGGAGAGACTGGAGCGTGGTTCGCGCTGACTAGATCTATAACCGCTTGGCAGTAGTAAGTAAATCGATAACCCGGCAACATTAACTATTGAGTCATGTTTGCGTGCGGAGTGTTCTATCTGTAAGTTGATTGTTACTGCCCTGGGTTATGGGCCCAAATGCGACAACCCCGAGATACACTATAATACACAGCAAGCAAGATAAGAGCCTTTGCACAAGACTCCAAGCTTGTACGTACCGATAATGTGCTTCTTTCGGCGTACACACCGTCAGCAAAACAAATGTGAAGTACTTCTAAGTGTTTACCACTTGTTAGCACGACCATGCAGATAAAAATGTATGCGAAGAAATAAAAATGCGTTAACTCTCCCGCCGGGAATCGAACCCGGGCCGTCCGCGAATATGTACAGTGACAAGCGGAAACTGAAGATTTGTAAGTATATGTTACAGATAGCGCGTGAAACAGGTGCTTACTCATAACCACTAGACTACGGAAGATGGGCAAGCTGTGCTTGACGTAGTAAATAGAATTGAGCACAATTTCTGGGGTTGCGAATATAATAAACAATCTCAAGTCCACGGCTCCCTCCATGATTCCCACAAGTTTCCCTTCATCAGCTTAAAGAAATTGCACGCAATTTGACCATGTCCAGATTGAGGAGAGTTGGGTTTTCAAAGAAACCATTTCATGTCCGTCAAAGATTTTCTCTCGTGGACACGAATTTCAAGAAATTCACCAAGGGTGCTTATTGTTCACGTACGCTACAGAACTTATCCTTCGCCCAGTCCGTTATATCCCAATGCCTTCGCGTTGAAAGACCCAATTTCTACGATCATTTCTTATCCTTACCTGACAACCTCCTCGTCCCCTTCTTCAGTCCTATGAACACCCTTTTCAGAGGCGACTCCCGGCGTCCCTCTCCTCTCATAATCATCCTCATAGGCCCTCCACATGGCAGCATCACGCCTCAGTTTATTATTATGCCGAACGTAAGCTTCGTGGACGCGCAAACGACGATCAGCTTCAACCATTCCGCCAAAGACCATACCTGACATTTGTATAAATCTATGTTTTTGTTAGCACCTTGGGTTTGACATCGAGCTTTCCCGTTCGCTAGTGATTACCAAGACGTACACTTTGAACTGGATTGTCAAATTTCTGTACACAGGTGTGTAGAAGTATGCTGCTGTGCCGAGAGCTGCTGTGTAAAGGCCCCACTTTTGGTTTGTTAGCAGTAATTTGAGATTCATGGAGCATTTAGACTGGAGAATGGTGATTCCAACAGAGATAATGCGAATTTGTCTCAGTTCAAACAATATGTATTGGTGGATTGATATTTGACATACTCTGGTAGCGCCAACTACAGCGCCTTTCGTAGCTTCCCAAGAAGCAACTTTCAATTCTTCATCTTTCCTTAGGTCTACTTCTCTTTTCATGGTATGCTTTCCGACTGTAAAGAGGGCATCTCAATTCAAGCAGATGAGCAATTTGGGCGATGCAAGTTTGGCAACTTGGGAAGTTGGGTGTGAATGGAGAATTTTCCAATGTGGTAAGACGTCTGGTGCACTCTCGAATAAGCTTCCTTTGAGAAATATTATGACCTTCAATCCAATTGAACTCGACTCACGGAGTCTTGATATCTCTGAATGATTTGCAAAAGGAAATGGAAATGGAAAGTAGAATAATGATGCAACTCCAGATGATACCGTATGCGGGCAAATTCGGCGGTCCGAGCTTTAGCCGCCTCGCAACTCTCCCAAAAAGAAGTTCCAATTTCATGGTGTAGAAGTGCAGCATCTCCTTTGCGTGCGATTTCCGCTTCTTCATTCCTTTCAATGCTCTCTGCATTCCATCGCCCTGTAGCAAGGTCCTCAGTATCATACGTCTGTCTCACGTGTCGTCTCAACCGTCCAAGCCATCGCCGCCAAACACGCCATCTCACCACCGAGCACTCCTTATCATCCCCCACATCTATACCACCTCTGCCAGGTGTTAAAGATCTCGCAGATATCGCCAAGGATGGAGCTCTTCAATCCGAACAGACTAAAAGTGTGAAGAAAAAGAAGAGGAAAAAGGCAGGAGTGGCAGATGGAGCAGCGACCGCGTCGATATCGGAAATATTGCCAGTAAGGAAAGAAGCAGATGACGATGCGCAACGAAGCTCTGCCATTACCAATGAAGGGGCTCCAGACAAGAATGCTGCTTCTGAGCCGAAATCACAGCCGCGGAAGGTCAAAGGCAAGGGTGGAAGGATAAGGAACGTCAATTCAAGGAATAGGAGGGCTGAGAAACAAGAAGGACTCGCTGCGCTTCAATTTCAAGCTCTGGCTCAATTATTGAAGGGAAAGAATAGCCAGGAGAATAAAGACTCGACGGCACCGGAGATTAGGAAGTACATGTCCGAGTCACCAGAAACACCTATAGATAAAGCTCGTTGGGAATCGATTGCACGTAGACTGAGGCGGGATCTAAGAGACGTGTCAAAATCAAAGACTTTACCCCCAGAGAACGTCACGTTTCTGAAAAGGGTGAAGACATTGAGAGAAGCTCTTTTGGCTCCACGTAAACGAACACGCGCTTCTCGTACTGCGAAGAAGGCTGCCTCAAATTCTGGACCGGCTTCTTTTACACCTAAGGCTTTTAAATTGCAGGAGCAGATTAAGAAGATAGATGTTAAGCTTTTGAAACTTCAAGGTTGGTTTCATCCCAATCATATTGGAACGACAACTAATATTGGTAGCGCTGGATATTCCACAACCCCGCGTGCCTGGACTTTCATATGGGCTTGATCGTGTGTTGTTCAAGTAAGTGTTTTTTGGGGCACGAATATGATCTTTTGCTAAATACGAATCACAGCTCTGGTGTATACCAACTCCAAGATCCTCGATCTCGTGTCTACAACTTTGATCCATATCTAGAAAAGATTATACCCTCCGTCGAATTTGATTTCGCCGCACTGAAACCATACCGGATATCATCAGAAGATCAAACGCTTGGACAAATCGCGAAGAAAAATGGGTTCAAGTACTACAGCTCGACATCCAGCCTTACCAGTGTCTTGCAGCATTTTCACTACTTGCTCTCTGACTGGAAACCGATCAATCTGAAGATGCTTTCAAAGGGCTTTGATGTCGCGACAGGCAACCAAGCCAAGTTTTCCGCCTTTCAAAGATCACCATTCTCCATTTTCCTAAGGGCGCGCGATGGCGCCTACGCTATTGATTCCGACAAATCCAATGATACAGGCAATCCTTTGTCGCTGGTGGGGAAAGTTTTGGAAAAGTTGTTCACAGTGCCCAAAAAAGACTTTGAGCAGTTTAGAATCAATCGTGAGACTGGTCAGTCTGAGGCTGGCATTGATCGCGCACCGGAGTCATTTCACTACACTGGGGTTGGCAATGTTCTTGTACGGTCTCAACTCGACGCTTACGATTCACGACTGCCTGGAAATGGCATTTATGATATCAAAACCAGAGCGGTCCTTCCCATCCGCATGGATTCAAAAGGAAAACTCGAGAATTCGACAGACTACGAGATTAGATCTGCTCAAGGTGACTTTGAGTCGTACGAACGGGAATTCTTTGACATGTCTCGAGCCACACTGCTCAAGTACTCGCTACAGGTTCGTCTAGGCCGCATGGACGGTATTTTTGTGGCGTATCATAACATTCGACGGTTGTTTGGATTCCAATATCTGAGTATTCAGGAGATGGATAAAGTGTTACATCACAGCACTGATCGCGCTCTTGGAGATGATGAGTTGAAAGCCAGTCTGACTCTTCTCAATGAGGTACTTGAGCGTGTGGCAGCTAGATTTCCAAATCAAGTAAGTGGTGTACGCAAGAGCATTGTATACATGGCATGTCTAACAGATGATAGTCCTGTCGCCTCCACTTTGAGACTAATGCAAGAGCTTCTCCGTTCATGCACATCTTTGCTGAACCAATGACAGAGGAGCAGATTGAGAAGATTCAAGACGTTGGCCGGAAGAAGGTTCATGAAGCTGAGAAAATTCTCCTCACACCGCATGTAGAGGGCGATGCGGTCGAGAATGAATCGAGCAATGAGCAATCCTCGGTCGAGGAACTCGCACACGCTAGCGGTGAGACGCGATCGAAATTGGAAGACGAAGTTACTGCTATTGAACAAGCTTTCAAGGACGAGCCTAGGGAGATTAGGGACTTCGACTCGGATGGAACGGAGCGGCCGGTTACAGCCAGGATATTAGACCTCCAAAACTTGTCTCTCGCTATACTGAACAAATGCGCAGACCTGGACGGCAGGCTCACCTCTGAAAATGCACACACCAATCTCAGGACGATAGCAGAAATCTCTCAAGACCTGAGGAGACTCCATGTCGGCATTGCGAAAATCCGTGATGAAATCCCAAAGGAGGAACCCAGGGATAGTGGTGAGTCTGATCCAGACTACCAAATGAGGAAGGAGCATTGGAAGCAAGTCGATCTTCTTTCGGATGTGCTCGTGGAGTTGAAGGTCAAGAATTTGAGGATCCTAAGATTTATCAAGGCGGCTGCTAAGGAGGTTCAATCACCGGATACTGGTGTTGAAGAAACCACCGAGGAGCAAGTACCAAGCGAGGCAACAAAACCTCGCGAGGTGCTCGCCCTTGCTCTCTCCACACGCAGCATCCGTAGCGCTGACCAACTCACGGACGGCACCTCGTTTGAAGAAGGCAAAACAGAACCAGGACATTGGACTATAGAATACTGCCTCGAAGAGGTAGAAGATGCATCTCTGGCTTTTAGCATCTATGACGCATGCAAGAAAAGAAGGGATACGGCTGGGATGGGGGATAAATCGGATGAAGCTTTGGATAGGTGGTTCAAGAGCGGGTTCATGAGGGAGATTGCTCGTTACGCTACCAAGGGGGGCGTTTATAGGAAGGAAAGGGATGCGATGGACAGAGAATTGGGGGAGGTAGTCATGTTCGAGGAGGGAAAGGGAGAGGGGAGCGAGGATTTGGCAGGAGTAGCGGGGTATATGCAGTGGTTGTATGATGGTGAGAGGAGGGAATAATTCTACGTGGGGTGGGACTTTGTCTCGATTTTCGGCATTTTGGAAACTGCATAGCGTGGCGTTGCATCTCATCAACTTGGAATTTGAGATCTGGCGTGGTATATGGGGACATGTTCAAAAGCTGATCACCTCCTTGGGTTGGAATGGACATAATGTCTCAAGCAATGGATCTTGTAGATATATACTAGGATTGAGCAGCCACCGCTATTCTTGATGGGCTCATGCAATTCATCTCCCAACTCCTATGTATCTATTTCGGACATAAAATCTCCTGGAACTTTCAATTATATTTTGCACGTGATGTCGCATCGTGGTTGCATCACTCCAACCCGGACCAGCACGCAGGGCAGGAAGCTCCCGTCCCGCATGTCAGCCGCGACTCAAGCTTCGCACCCGTCTTATAAGCAAACCGGCAAAGACAACACACAATGCTACCCAACCAAACAGTTAATGTACAAAC